AGCAACCCATACGAAATCTGTTTGACATGAATCCCTCAGAATTTCATTTATCTAATCCTTAGCAACAGCCACAATACACATGATTGGTGGATTGTGTGGCTACCTTCCTTGGATAATAAATATTTAAGGCTTCACAGGCCCCAAGATTAGCCATTAACACGACGTAAATGAAGGCATATTCCTGAATCCCAATAAAACTTTATTCTTAAAAAACGGGGCAGATTTGATCCAAAGGTCATAGTTTCCTCTGATTTAGGACATGGATTACTTTAGATATTTATTCGGTCTATTAAGAGGGAAAATTTTAGGCACTTTGGAAAAAAGGCATATGGTCAATACTGTTTATAAAACATACAGAAAAGAATCACACCATGAAGAGGGAGTGAATAAAATAAACATTGAGGCTAAAAATGTAACTGCTATTGACCATTAGGACCCTGAGAACTTTCTGGTATCACAGGCAAAAATAAAGAAGTATTATCTTTACAGAGCTCTTGTTATCAGAAAGGAGTTATTATGCCAATTTCTTAAATAGAAAGAGTTCTGTTTTGGCCAGGAATTCCCGATGACGTTTCCCACATGAGACCTGACATCCCTGACAACAGTCTTACCATAAACGTGTAAACAGCTTGCAAATGGTTGTGCTTCATTGAACGTCCCAATAAAAAAAGACAGGCCAAAATAGGAGAGAAGTGCAATTATTCGTTCAAACAAGCAGCCATGTGGATGGAGTCCATTTTTCTCTCATCCAGGAATTTCTTCTAATAACACTTTTATTTCACACCTCCTACTCTGTGCATGTGAGATTATGGAGCTGGAAGACAGATAGACCCTCTTTTTCCTCCACCATTCCCAGGAATTAACAAGTTCTAGAAAGTTCAGTTTTTCCAGTATAGGTTCCTGGGAAAGTTTAGGAACTAGTATGTTAGAAATACAGAAGAAGTTGGGGGGCGGGTAGGGATAATTCAGAAGTTTGGGATTAACAGATACACCACTATATACAAAACAGATAAACAACAAGGACCTCCTGTATAGCATGGGGAACTACACTCAGTATCTTACAAGAACCTATAATGAAAAAGAATCTGAAAAAGAATATATATACGTGTGTGTGATTTGCCTCCATGATTATTTCTTTAGTATAATGAACTAAAAGTATCTTCACCGCAGCAACACTTGGCAGAAAATAAACAAATGCCTAAAAGACCAGAGGAACAATTGGATAACTTGCAGTCCATTTATGCACATCATGTAATACTATGTAGCTATTAATTGAGCGTTGGGTCCTATTTTAATTCTGCTCTTGGAAGAAATTTTAAGTAAATCGAAACCTTCTGTTAAATCTCTCTTTGAATTTTTGAAGGTAACTCGTTTCTTTCCTATCGTAAACATCTGTCAGTCCTTCATTGCTTCCTCCTAAGACACAGATTTCAGAATTTTCATGTCTGTCTTGATCTGTGCTTTTCGACAAACAGCTTTTGGACCCAGAACCAGATCCATGCTCCTGTGGTGGCTGGGCTGGCGCTGAACAAATTTGCACTATCACCTCCTTTGCTTCGGAGATGCTACTTACTATAATGATGTCTCTGAAGACATGAGCTCCTTTATGGTCAATGATAATACAGGTTCATTTTTAGCATTTGCACAGGAACAGCCCTCAGCCATCTTTCCCATGAATTATCACTGAGTCTCCTCCCATTCTACACATGTGCAGTTGGGATTCACCTGTGTCCCCTTTTCCAAGGGAAGATGGGTGAGTTCTGATAAAGCATGTGAATGGAAATGATGGAAAGAAAACACCCAGAACAGTGACAGCTTCTTCTGCACAGGTAACAGAAAGTACATTAAAGTGTGTACTTGTACTCTGTGCATATTGTAACTAAAATAAATGTTTTCATGCTGAGGCAAAATAAAAACAAACGAATGTAAAAGATAAAATATAAGCCATTACTTTAAGTTATACTAAGTACCAAGAACCTAGTATTGAGACATTTTTTATTCATGGGATGTGTGTGTGTGTGTGTGTGTGTGTGTGTGTGAACACGGCCTTCCCGTGTTTGTAATTATCTACCATGTCAGTTACTGACTATGGCGTCTCTACGGGGCATATACGGTTTCATGAGTTTTTAGTCTGGACAATTCATACCAATTTCAATTAACATCCCTAGGAGACTTAATTGCTGAAATGTCAAAGGTAAGTTTAGAAACGTAAGTACATTCCAAACACATGAATGCTTCAGCTTAAAGATGTGGGAGGCAAAGGGCGTCTTGTAAAAAAAAAAAAAAGTGTGGAAAAATAAACAAAACCCATGGAACTGAATGAAAAACGGGGCCAGGACGGGTCTTGGGAATGAAAGGTAAACATTGAAACTCTTTTATATAGGCAGCAATTTTTTTGTGTGTTGTTCACTCACATTACTGTTCACGTAGAGACATATTTGTTTGAGGTTCAGAGAGACCAAATTACCTTCCACTTTTGTATAGGGTTTCCACTGGTAGAACCATCCACGGAAAGGTTTGCTGTTATATTCTGCACACTGCTGGGCTCGAAAATCCAAGCTATTTTCGTTACAAGGGTTAATATTGCACAGCTGATATACACGGCTAGAACCAGGACAGAACTTGCCACCATACTGAGGTCTAAAAATAAAATCAAAGAACATGAATACTAGCAATCAAAGACTCACAAGTAGTCACAGGCAATATTATAAGGAAAGGCAAGCAAAATGGTCATTGTCACAGTGTATGCAGCAAATACAGTCTATTATAAGAATGGAAATATGTAGCATATAACATGGTGCAACCCTTCTTGCACCCATGGCAGACATAACTAATCAATCCAGGAGTTTTTCTCTTCTCTATTCTCTCAACATAACCCTTGAACAGCCACTATCACTGCTCATTAGTTGCCTTGTTAGATCAAACTCATTTGCTGTCTCTGATTCAGTTTTAACACTCCAGTGATTTCCAGAAAGACCATAAAAGCATATTCTTGACACTCATCATTATCATCTCACGTGTTAGGGAATCTGTAATTACACCTAATTGTTCCTGTTAATGTAGATGTGTGCTCGTGTGCTGCACTTGCAAACACACATGCCCCTTTTGTTGGTACCAGCACTCTTCAAATGCACACCCAACTTCCTCTCCAGCTTGCTTCCCATCCCTGAACACTCTCCTCATCTTCCTACAGCTTGCAATGCACCTGCCATTACATAGAAGGTCAGTCAGGACACTGAAGACACCACTTGTCCTATTTTCTAATCCAGCCATGTCCGTCACTGAGCTGATATTTTGATGATTGTTAGAATCATGTGTGCTTTATCCTAATGGATTCCAAATTCTGAGAGAAAAAAAAAGATATCGCCTTGTTTTCATCTGCATAATCACTTTTTAACGTTGCAGGTGGCCTGCTCCTTTCCTGCCAAGCACAATGGGAAGTGGATTTCCAGAGGAGGGACTCTCATTATAACATAAATAATGATGATCTGATGGCAAGCTCTTTAAGACCGTGCTAGGAAGACTGCAAAAACCAGAAAGCAGAATAAAAGAAAAAAGGAGCAGCCACCACACTAAAAGTCACAATCACGTCTGACTCAGCTGACTCCAGGCACAGAGCAATTGCTTCTTTCCATTCCTACTTTTTTGTAGTTTTCTCCCAAGGCTAAAACCCAACTACAGATCATCTCCTACAAAAGCTCAATGCAAACATGTAACACGAAAGAAGGCTCCAAGTTCATAAATTTATGTGATTAAAATTCCTTGTCTCTGTAGGAAGCACAAGAATGCTATAAAACACCCCTGGATTTGCTTCGACATATTTTATCAAATCCTCCTTTAACTGCGTGCTAAAATGGATTCAACAGAAACGGGAAATGTCACCCCACCAGCATGAGATTTTTATGCTATTTCAAAACATTCTGGAGCAACTACTAAAACATTCAGCAGTCACTGCACTAGACTGAATCCCAGAAGACTTCTTAAATCATTAGCCGAAAGGCATTTAGAAAAAACTTCAAGTGTCATGTGACAGCCTTCCTCTATTGCTGGTCACCTTTACAAGGCTTAATTAAAACTTTCTCAGTGTAAGAATTTCTTGTCTGAGATTTTACAAATAAGCTTCATTTTGAGATTTTACAAATAAGCCACATGCATTACTTCTTCAACTCAGAAACTGTAACATGGAGAAGATCTCAAAGGTTATACAGCCAGCCACTCATTATAGAGATGAAGTAGAAAATGGCTGGTAGGGCTTCTAGAACTTGCTGAGTGAAGGTCACGGCCGGAAAGAGACAGAACAGAATTCAAATTCAACCTCAGACCTTTGGACTCTCCTGGGTGCTGTTTCGGCTCTGCTCTGCTTGCATTTATGTAAGTTAGGGAAGAAGGACTGGGCAAGAAGATGAAGAGGGAGCAGTGATGCCCGGTAGTTAGACGCTGGCCTTTGACGGTGGAGCAGCTCTCAATTTAAACATTCTCTGCCTCTCCCAGCTCATCTTTAGGCAATTTTAGTTAACCTCCTAATCTGTAAAATGAGGATAGTTGTGATGATTGGAGAGAATGTTTGTAATGAACTGAGAGCAGAGTCTAGAACAGAGCTGGCACAAACGGTAACTACTTTAAAATGCTTTCTGCTTTTAGTGACTGGCAAGTATTTTGACTTGGCCATCAAACCCTCAAATATAGATACTTTTTTTTTTCCTGCAGCTTAAGAGAAAACTCTACTACGGTGTCCCTTGCAAATAGTAAATCTTTTATGATTAAAAACAATAATATAAACAGTCAGAAAACAGTATCTAGGCAAAACATGACTTTGTCTTTATAGTAAACTACTATAAAGTATACCCATACTTGCTTCTGCAGAATTTATCAAGTCCTGACTACAAGTGGCTCTAATGTTGGCTGGCTGATCACTAGAATCAGTTGAGCAGCTCTGCTTAACAAATATGTATATGTACATACATACACCTATCCACACACATATATTTTTATTATATATATATATATATTTACATACAGATAATTTATACATATACGTGTGTGTGTGTATATATATATATACATATCCCTGGACCCCTCCATAGACTTTCTCAATAAGAGTATCAAGGAATATCAAGAAATCAGTGTTTTTTTTTTTTTTTTTTAAGAAATTCATGTTTAAAGCACACTTGGTGATTCTGATAACCAGCTAAGCCTGGAAACCACAGGTGGGAAAACTGGCCAGAGATTTGATTCAATGATCATTCTAGAGCTATATGACTCTAGTGGTATATTATTCTTTCTCAGACTCATGCTTTAGGAAAATTCTAGAATGCCTTAGCATGTTTACCTAACACTATTTTAATCGTCACTATTAATCTCCTTAAACAGGGTTTAGAGGGGTTTCAATAGACTCTCTTACACGGAACCAGAAGAAAATATCAAAGGATTAGGACAATGGGATCTTGGTCTGACGCTCCCATCGCCAGCTCAGTGACCCGTGCAAGGGCTTCTACTCTGAAAGGGACCCTCTGCCTCCCCTGGTTGTCCACTTGCAGAATTACTGGATCAAACAACAGGTTTCAACTCCTGTATCTGTTCTGGCCTGATTGGGGGCACATGCCTGCAGCAGTGATTTGAGAAGGTTCCGATCAATTAGGAAGGTCTTCTGCAGACCTGAGACATCAAGGAAGGGCCAGATGTGTCTGGTATTGGCCATTCCAGAACCAGGTAACCTTTCAATTCTTTTGAAGCTGAAAAGTTTGATACATCCATGCATCAGCAAGAAATAGTTCATTTTTTTTTAATGAAACGAAATAGGTTCTGGGAAAACCATCATTATGTGAAAGGAAAAGCTCACGTTGCGTTTCACATGAAACAATGAAAATGCTCAGGCTGAGTGATCTGAACAGACCAAATGTTTAAACTGAAGAAAGACAGAAATTAGGAACTTGAAATAGGGAGGAAAAAACAGCCTTACTACAACAATGGGAACTAAGAATGGAGAACAAGGGATTCAATTGTCGTGAGACAGCCGATGGTTTACTTGCTTTACTTGTGACTTGGTGCATAATTAAAGCCAACAGAGTCCTGATGAGCCTGAATCTTGTTTCAAATGATAAAACTGCACCAAGTGGAACCTCTCGAGTGATTAATTCTTTTATTAGGCATCTCCAAAATTACAGTATGATATTTCCATGAACAATGCCCTATTATGATGAGAGTTCTCAATCCCACAGATACGAACGAGGTTTTAATTTAAACCTCAGGGGTGCCATTCATGCACTTGACCAGCAGAGCTATTAAATTAGGTAATCTATTTCTTTCCTGGGAAAATACCGTGATTGTAAAATGTTGCGATGTATGAAGACCAGATCTGTGAAACACACTGCAAAAATGCAAAGTAGTGTGATGATTCTAGCAACTCTATCCAAGACATGGACGACATTCAAAGTCTGGGGAGGGTGGCTTTAATAATCTCGTATAAACTGTACGTGCATGACAAACCTCCCTACCTAGTTATTGGGTCTGACTGGAGCAGTGCGTCTCAACTGGGCATGACTTCGCTCCCCACAAGATATCTGGCCACGTCTGGAGATATTGTCACTGTCACAGTTTCGAGGTTGGGGGCAGGGAGAGGCATCCTACTCGCATCTGGTGGGTAGAGGCCAGAGGTGCTACTACACACCCTGCCGTATGCAGAACAAACCTTGCCCCCGGTAAAACACTTTCAGCCTAAAATGCCAAAGCTGAGAAATCCCACATCAGCCTGGGATATTCTAAAGAGGACCCAAACAAACCATGGTGAAAGCATCTCCAAACCCTTCCTTGTATTTTGGAACAAAGTGGCCTCTGGATCCAGCTCAGATGCTGACTCCGATGAAGTACCATTTGTCTTAAAAATTTCCTTCTTGCTCTAGTTTAATTACTTATTTAAATCCTCAATCCACCAAACCTTTACACAGTGCTTACAACATGCCAGGCACTTTTTAAAAGCATTTTACAAATACCAGCTTGGGTGAGGTAGGAACCATCATCACCCCATTTTTACAAATGAGGGACCTAGAGCAGGCAGAATAAGTCGTCTATGGCCACCCAGGTAGGAAGGGGCAGGCCAGGAGGCAAACCCAGGATACTGGGCTTCAGAGTCTGTGTTTCGAATCTCCGTGCTATGCCACTACTCATATCATGCTGAAAAACTAAATCCACTATTTTTTAAACAACAAGGACCTACTGTATAACACAGAGAACAATATTCAATTTCTTGTAATAACATATAATTGAAGAGAATCCAAAAAAATATGTATATGTATAACCAAATTGCTTTGCTATACACTTGAAACTAACATTGTGAATCAACTCGTTCAATAAAAAAAAACTTTATAAAAATAAAACTAAATCTACTATTTTCCCAAGGTTCCATCACCTTCTCACTCCATTGCCTTCTCTGAAGTCCAGTTTCGTCAATAAGGCCTCTCCCTACTCCTTCTAAGGGCTGACCCTGTTACCTGCATTCCTGGTGAGTTTAGGATGAAGATAATGAAAACCACATGGACCCCTGAAACTTTCGGTGAATGCCCACTGGATGCTCCCCAGGGGGTGAGGCATTCTACAGACACAACTTCTCATCCCCTCAAACTATCCAAGGTGGGATTATCTCCATTTTATGCATAAACCCAACCTCCAAGTTCAAGTGACCTTCCCAAAGCCACACAGTTAATTAATGGCAGACCCAGGACTTAGAGTTGTAACTTTCTATCTCCCAGGTCTGGGCTCTTTCAACATCACCATGCCAGTCAGGTAAGTACGTATCACATATGTCTCATGTGGGGATTAGAGGAGAAAAAAGTGACACAAAACCACCCTCATTTTCACAGAGCGCAGGCAGCAGCTCAGAATCCCAGTATGACTAGATCAGA